AAGTTTAATAATATTTTTAATTATAAATAATATTATATTATTATTATTAAATTTAAGGTTTATTAATTTTATTTTATTATTTTTTTTAAATATAAAAGAAAGCTAAAATTTTAATTATATATTAATATTAATAATATATTTTTAAGGGAAACTTTTAAAGATAATAATAAACTTAATAAATTGATTATTTAATAATGCTTAAATATTTAAGGAAATTATATTTTAATTAATATATATAATAAATTATTAAAAAGCAATATTTAATTAATTAAAAAAGCGGCTTAAAAATTAAATATTAAAGGAAATTTAAGCAATAAAAGCGCTTATTAATAAGTAAGAAATATAAAAAAGCCTTTTTACTTTATTAATTAATTTTATAATTAATAAATCTTGCTTTTAAGAATTAAATTATTTTTATTAAAGGTAAGCTATAAAAAATAAATATATTTAAGCTTATTATTTTAAATCTTTATAATATATAAAGATTTAAATAAATAATAAAATTATAAAAGCTATTAAATATAAAGTTATTTAAGTTTAATTATAAAGTTTTATAAAGCTATATAATTAAATAATTTAAATAAATAAATATTAAGATAATTATATAAGAGTAAAGTAAGTAATGAAAAATTAATAATAAATTTATAATAATGCTTTTATTATTTTATTAAATAAGTGTGGGAATAGTACGTATGGGCATTACGTGCCCACGCAATGAGCGCATACAGGCAATGCACAGATTTGGAGGTGCAAGGTCTAAACTAGTCTTATCGATAACAGCTGCCAGCCGGTGCCAGCCAGTTGCCAGCTGGCGGTCACGTGCCCCGCGCATAAACCACCATAGCTAGCCTATAGCCAGACGGGGGAAGGCTGCAGCTTTACTATAACCTACCCTTTATATTATAGCTAAATTAATTATATACTTTATTTATTTATTAACTATATAAAAGCCAAACCAACATTAATTAATGCTTACTTAGCAAGCATAAACAGCTAGGTTTAAAGAGATAATTTATTGCTTTTAAAAGCAATTATATTAATTAGTAATTATTGCATATTGCAAATTTATATAGCGCGATTTATAATATTAATAAATACTTAATATATAAAGAAATAATTATTATAATAAGAAACCATAGCAAACTCCCCTACCTTTAATATATATATATTTATTATATTTTAAGCAAAGTTAATAATAATGGCTTTTAAGGTTAATAGCTAACCTTAAGCAAAAGTATATATTAATATTTACTTTTATTAATTTCTTTTAACCCTTTTATTAAGCATGCTTAAAAACATTACGTTAAACACTTTCTTATAATATTTTTAAGCTATTGCAACCTTTCTAGCTTATTAAAAGCCTTTTCACAATATTCTTATATTAAAAAGCCTCTCTTGTAATACCCTTAAAAAGCCCTCGCTTAACACTTATAAGAAGCCCTTAATTAGCACCCTTAAGAAGCCCTTGCTTGCAATTAACACCCTTAAAAAGCTTTTATTTATAATTAACACCACTTAAGGCACTTATATAATACCCTTAAAGCTTATAACCCTTTAAAAACCCCTTTAAATACTTAATAAAGCATAAAATACTTAAATATTTTAAAATATTAATAAATAACATTTCTTTTAAGCAATTTATATACTTAATTAACACCCTTAATTAAATACTTTAAAGTATTAATTAGCAAATAAGCTATTAATATAATCGTTTTATTTACTTAATTAGCTTAAAACTATTAAAGGGAATAATTAATATTTATTGCTGGTTTAATTATATAAATAACTTAATTAAACCTTTAAGATATTTATTTTTTAATAATAATTAATATTTAATTAATAAGCATAACCTTCCCTTTTTTAATGCCCTTTTTATTAATGCCCTTTAATAAAATTTTAAGCATAAATTACTTTAAAATTAATAAAGGTTAATTTATTAAGTAATAATAATATTTAAGCGCTATTACTTATAAATAAATAATTTAAGAGTTAGTTATTAATTTATAAGCATAATGCAAGAACATTCTTCCCTTTCCTTTTGCTTTATAATTAATCATTATAAGATTTACCCTAATGATAATAATAGCAATAGCCTTAACAACAATAATAATGCCTTGCTATTAAGCAAAAGTAACGTTTATTATTAAGCAAGAATGGCCTTGTTATTAAGCAAAAGTAGCCTTATTATTAAATAAAAGTAGCAATTATTATTAAAAGTAATGTTTAGCATTAACTATTAAAAAAAAGCTGTTAAAATAATAATTAATTAATTAAAGCATAATATTTTAAATACTTTAAAACTTTAAAATATTAATAATTAAATAATTTAAATTAAGTAATTTAAGTACTTTCTTTAAGTAATTGTAAATACTTTAAAATATTGCCTTAATAACTTAATAACTTACTTTTATTAGCTTAGCGATTAATTTAATTGGCTTAAAGCAAATAATCCATAAAGGAAAGCATAATTTTAAAGCATATATAAAAGATTGCTAGTATAGGAATAATATATATAAGCATTACGTGCCTATGTAATGGGCGTATATAGGCAATGCATAGATTTAAAGGTGCAAGGTTTAAACTAGTCTTATTAATAATAGTTGCTAGCTGGTGCCAGTTGGCTACCAGCTGGTGGTTATATGCCTTATGCATAAACTATTATAGCTAGCCTATAGCTAGATGGGGGAAGGCTGCAGCTTTGCTGCAACCTATTCTTTATACCATAGCCAAATTAATTACACACTTTATTTATTTATTATTAATTATATGAAAGTTAAATTAATAATAAGGTTATATTTATAATAATTATTAGCTAATGTTTAATTTTTATAATTTAAATTAAGTTATTAAGGGGTTTTATAATAAGAGGGTTATATTTAATTTTTAGTTAATATTTTGTTTAAGTTTATGCTAAAGGGCCGAGGGGTTGAGGACTACCTATTAATGCTCATAAGGGGTCTGTGCGGTGCTCCTTCCTCATACTGTTGCAGGCCTTATTATTACCGTGGGCAAGATGACATCATGCCGGGTATCTCCTGCCCAGTACCCTGCCCAGCTCCGGGAAGGAGCCTTAGGGCGGGTCGAACACGCCTGGAGAACAAGGTGGGAGGAGCGCTAGGGAAAAGGCAAGGTATAGAGTACCGTTCGGTTACCTGTGAAACTAGGCCTACTTGGTGCCTAGGTACCTGGTTACCTATGAGGTAGTCGTCACTGTGTGTGTGGGCATCACTGCGCGACCGGTGTGTGAGAAGAGCGAGCAACGGAACCGGAGCTGCACACACCAACGTGGTACCCATCTCTTCTGTCCGTTCTGCTGCCCCCGTGCCTCCATCGCCGTCGCAATCCTGCCAACCAGCTGCGTTGCAGCGAACCCACCTGTCAACATCTGTCATTGCCCACACCACGCATTGCAGCACAGAGGTACCCGATACATACATGTACCTTGTTGCAACACACATAGCAGGTGGCCATTGTGCATTGCTCGACGAGCTGCTCCCAACGCAACGGCTGCATGGCCCAACGACTGCAAGATGTAGATGCACATACCGGCCCTGCCTATCCCTCCGATCTCAAGCTCAAGGTTCATTCGAATCGGTACCGAGATGACTTACAGTAATACTTGCGATCCCGCTCGTCCGCCTGCCGAATCACAGAGATCTATCACATCTCAGATCCTTATCCCTCGGAAAGCAAGAAGAGAGGGAGAGAGGGAAAAAAAAGCACTCACGCAGCTGACCAATCCTCTGCTGCTCTACCTCTGGTTGCCGCGCTGTGTACAGTATGCCCAGGTGGTTTGTCTGCAGCCGTGGCTGGGACTGTGTGGGCTGGCTGGCAGTGCTGGGTTCGCAGGCATCGCGTAGCTGACCTGCCGTGGTGAAGCCTATCCCAGGGAGGCCCCAGCGCAGAAGTGCGTCTGTGTTCTCCCTGCCCACTGGCTGCGGCTAGGAGCAGGACCTACCAGGCGATGTCGTGCCTCATCTGCAGGCCGTTCAAGCTTTTGGTCGTCCATCGTCAAGGCCCGGAGGACAGGGTTGGCCTCGCCATTGTATCCATGTGGGTGCCAATTGCTTGGCGAACGGCGCGCTCCGCCATGGAAAAGGGCTGGAGAAGCTCGGAGAACTCTGATGTCGAGGAGCCCCGCCTCACATCAGTACAGCACAGTAGCCCTTCCCACGATTTCGCAGCACCTCCCTCTCCTGTCCAGGGCCGGCTTGTCGAAACCCACACACACGCACACACACACTCGGACAGGCAGCGCACGCCACCACACCATCAGGCAGCTATCGTCGCCGTCCTCATCTCCGGCGCGCGTCCTTCAGGCCCCTGTCCCGCGCAAAAGCGTGGGAAACGCGCCGAGCAGGCTCTGGCGCGCGGTCTGGGTACGGACGTCGGACAGTGACAGTGACAGGCCCTGCTGGGACTCGGGAGGCGGTCGCAATCCCTGCCAGCACGCGCTGCTTCGACTTCCAGGTTTGGGCAGTGGGACGGCGATCGTGAGGGATTCTACCCCCACATCACTCTTACCAGCGGCCCAGCTTCCGGGTCATGGCCCACTTGACCTGACTGACTTGATTTGACTGGGTCTTTTCGTCCTGGCGGTGCCCGTTTGATTTCCTCCTTCAACCCTAGGCTGCCCGCCTACGCTCGCACGTCTTATCTCCTGCGTCTTTGTGCGCCGACTAGAGCCTCTCCTCTTCTTGTGATCCTCACCCCTACCCGAGACCATCGTTCCGTTCCGTTGAGACGGCCTGGCCAGTCGCCGCAAGGACGGGGCACGCCTTCCGCCCGCCCTCCGCCCGCCTCCCGCCCGCCCCCGTCTCTCTTTGCTGCCAGGCGGGCAGACCTCTTGGGCTTCACTCGCTCTCCGCGCAGGCTTCTCCCGTGCTTGGAACGCCTCTTGCGCAGCCACACAACCGCCTGTTCGTGCCGGATCCCAACTATGTTGTCCCAACTATGTTGACCTCCGAATAGCACCGACTGAGGACCCGGCAAACCGCAGCATGTCTCCGCAACTCAGGAGCGTCGGCATCGTTGATCTTCTCGAGGCTGATCCACGACCGACCTTCATCGTCGATCTCACCATCGCCGCCGGAAATTCAGAACAGACCTCCTCCATCGCTTACTGCAACCCCGCGCTCTCGGCCTGTCCTGACCTTGTTGACCTTGTCCAGTCCTCCCGCAGCCAACACGCTGTCCTCTGGGAATGGATCTCCGCTTCATTCCTGCCTCCGAGTTTGACCAAGGCCCGCAGCTCTTCCTCCTCGGACTCTCCCTCGTCGCCCTTCTATTATTCCAACGCCCAATGGAGCAAATGCCTCGTCCAGGGGAGGTGGCTGGTCGTCGGAACCAACGAGCAGCCCTCATCTGCCGACCGTCCCCGCAAGATCCGGCTCGATTCTCAAAAAGGAAGCTTTGGTGTCTCCGGCAGCGCCAACAAGGTTGCATCTTCTACTTTACCCATAGCAATCCCGCACCATGACCGCCGATCAGACTCTTTGTGCGGTCCAGGAACTGCCTCTGAGCATGAGCCCTTGCCTGCACAGAGGATGTTTGTTGAGCCGGACTGGGTCTTGCCGGAAATCATGCATGACCAGGGGCCTTATCTCAAAATTCTTACAACCATCGACTGGCCCTCGACGCCTCTTGGACCTCTTAATACCTGGCCAACCCTACTGAAGCAAACGCTCAACCAGGTTCTTGCAGACTCCCGCCCGATTGCCTTGTACTGGGGAGAACATTTCACCACGATATACAACGAAGCCTTCGGAGCGCTTTGCGGGTCGAAACACCCAGGTCTGTTAGGGAAGTCCCTGGAGCATGTGTGGCTCGAGGCTGGCCCTAAGCTAAAGGAGATCATGCTCACGACCGCCGAGAAACGCCGTGGTATCGTCGAGAAGGAATGGCGATTTTTCATGGAAAGGACAGATGATGGCCCTGAGGAGACATATCTGAAGTGGTCGGTCGTACCCATCATGGAAGAAGAGAAGGTTTCAGGCTTCTTACATCCGATTCTCGATGTCACATCGGTGCGCCTATGGGAGAGGCGGATGAAGATGCTCATCGATCTCGGCGACGCACTGGTAACGGCCAGAGATGCGAAGTCTTACTGGGCCAAAACTGTCGAATTTCTTAGCGCCGTCGAACCCCGATACGATGTTCCGCTGGCGATTCTGTATTCGGTCCAAGATGACCCTGAAGCACAAAGTGTCACTCATTCACTCTATGGATTCCCGAAAATTTGTCAGCTCGAGGGCGCGCTGGGTGTGCCCGAAGGCCATACTATCGCTCCGCCCACCATCTCGCTTCGAAATACCGACCAGGGTCTTGCGTCTATTTTCCGCAGTGCTCTACAAGGCCATTATCCACTTCTGCTTCAAACAAAGGATGGCACTTTACCCGAGTCTCTGATTCAGGGGCTAGCATGGAGAGGGTTTGGTGACGCTTGTCGAAGCGCTGTTGTCTGTCCTATCCGGCCTACCAGAGAAGAGAACGTTATGGGCCTACTCCTGCTTGGCTTGAACCCGAGGAGGCCTTACGACAGTGACTACCGACAGTATATTTCGCTTTTAAACCAGAAATTGACCACCACTCTGGCTTCAACAGTTCTGCTGGAGGAAGAGGCTCGGAGGGGTCGCAACATCGCGGAGGAGGCTGCCTATGCACAGGCTAGGTTGAAGTCTAAGCTGACTGACAAGATAAAGGAGGCAACAGAATCACTTCACAAATTTCAGGAGGTCGCAGATTTCATCCCAGTTGGCATGGCTTTTCAGAACGCCCAAGGCGTCCTGACCAAGACTAATGACGCTTGGCATCGGATTACTGGTAATCCCCATCGAGAGACCGGCCCATCGATGGCTCTGAGAGATATTCTCTCTTACATCGTGGAAGAAGATCGCCCCGGTGTCGTGCGAGCTTACGAGCAATTACGCACGGAAGACAGCATCACCTACGAATGCCGACTGATTCGGCGAAACACCGTCAACAGTCCGCCGCCGCTGGTGAGGGAATCCGCAAGCTTCGAGAGGGCCGGTATCGAACTTCGTGGCATCAACGACCAAGCATCCGAACGCCACATCCTTGCGGCTGCTCGGGCTGAACGCGCCGCAGACGGCAGCATCCTGCAAGTGTTGACTTGCCTGACAGACGTCACTCTACACAATCAGACCGCCGAGGAGGCGATACGGAGGGCGCAACAGGCTGAAAATCTGAAGCGCATGGCGGAGCTGGCAACCGTCGGGATGTACGAGATGGACTTGGATGGGCAGCTCGTCGAGGCGAACAATGTCTTCTTCCAAATGTGCGGCCTCGACAAAGCCGACATGAACATTAAAGAGGCCGGCCTCAAACCCTGGCAGACGTGCATAGTGGAAGAGGACTTGCCTGCGCTGGAGGAAGTCATGAAAAAGGTCACCCATGAGGGTACTCCGCAGACCTTGGAGGTCCGATTCAAGACGCCTTTGACAGTCAAGGACAGCCAGGGTACTGAGATCGTCGTGCCGAGATGGGCGTACGGCACTTTCCTGCCAGTGAGGGGCTCTGACGGAGCGATTCAGTCGTACTGCGGCTGCGTGAGCGACATTTCCCTCCAAAAGTGGCAACTCGAGCGGGAAAGATTGCGCAAGGAGGAAGCGCTGGAGTCGAAACGGCAGCAAGAGAACTTCATCGACATGACATCTCACGAGATGCGCAACCCCCTCAGTGCAATCATCCACTGTGCTGATGCAGTCATTGCGTCACTTGGGAAAGCACTGGACCTGCAGCAGAGGATAGGTCTCAGCAGGCAAAATTCGTCGGCAACAAACGGAGGCGTTAGCGACGGGGGCATGCGCAGAGAGGATGAGCTTCTTATGGAGAGCAGCGTCGAGAACGCGGAGACGATCATCGCTTGGTAAGCCAACGAATTCTCACAACCCCTTCGCCCCTCTCCCACAGTGTCGTCTCCTTGAGCCGGGCTTCAGCTCCGTCAGAATGGCACCAGACCATCCCCTTCCTTACTCAGGTAGGATGTCCTTACATGGGGAGGCTTGAGGGCATGAGCTCTCAGTGGGAACCGCGTGCTTTACTTTTATGCGCATTCCAGCCAAGTTCACAGAGACCCGAGTTGAATGGGCCGTGCTAACCAGAATCTTGTAACTGAAGTGCCCAACATCAAAAGAGGATTGTAGATGACATTGTAAGTAGCCATCTGAGGTCTACTCTTTTCCTATCCTCGTACGGATTCTCAGAACGGAACGTGGACAGGAAGCGCCTAGCTGTTCTCTTGTGCAGTTCCGTCTCCTCCACCTCCCGTTCCCCCTTTTCCCTTTTTCCTTCTCTTTCCTTTCGCCTCCTCAATCTTCTCATCGTCTTCTTCATCATGCCCATCACCTTCATTCGTTCCCCTTCTCCACTCTGCTTTCTTTCTTTTTGTTCCTCTCAAACAGCTGACGCGAACAATGCAGTTGACCATGTCGAAACTGGACTCTAAATTACTGGCTGTGACCCCGATCACCGTCGACCCGCTCCAGATAGCAAAGGAGTCGCTCAAGATGTTTGAAGTCGAGGCCCGTAGGGTGGACATCGATTTGAGGATGAAAGTCGATAAGTCGTATGAAGACTTAGGACTGGAGTTCCTTGACTTGGATCCATCACGGCTCAAACAAGTCCTCATCAACCTTCTTACGAACGCATTAAAATTCACGAAATCTGGCAACCTGAGACACGTGACGCTCAGTGTCAGTGCTTCAGTCGAGAGGCCTACAGATTCCACGTGCTCAGTGCAGTTTATACCCCGGTCACAAGGACATGAGTACCAACAGCCACCGAACCCGAGCGGCACCGACCCGATATTCGTCACCTTCGAAGTCAAGGATACTGGTCAAGGCCTGACAGAGGAAGAGATGAAGAGCCTGTTCCAGCGATTCAAACAAGCATCAGCCAGAACCCACGTCAAATATGGAGGATCTGGTTTGGGTCTCTTCATCAGCAGAAGGCTTTGCGAGATGCACAACGGACAGATTGGCGTGGCTTCGCTCCCCGGGGTTGGGTCGACGTTTGCATTTTATGTCGAGTCGCGTCTTCCCAGCGAGGCGTCCTTACGAGAAGCTCGGGCGACTGCGCGAACGGCCTTGAAGGCGACCAGCTTGCCCATCACAAAGAGGGCCGAATCCCTACAGATAGGCACGGCGGAAGTCCCTCTGAAAAGTACACCCATCAAGGCCACAGAATTAACCGCGAATGACTCTGATTCCCTAGGCACAGAGACGAGTGCGGAGTCTCCCAAAATTGAGGGAGTTTTGGTTGTGGAAGACAATTTGATTAACCAGCAAATCACGCGCCGAGGCCTGGCTGACCATGGCTTCACGGTCGACGTGGCAAACCATGGCATTGAAGCCCTGGAAAAATTACGTGCCTCTGACCGATGGCTAGGGGATGGGCCTATTACGATACCTGTCTCCAATGGTGATGCCACAACCAATCCATCGTCGACTGCTCTCACAACGCCCACAACTCCGACGAGATCAAACGCCCCGGGCAGCTCGACACTCAACCCTGCAATCACAGTCGACTTAACGCCCACGACCACACCAAACAAGTTCCCCCTGTCGCTTATCCTCATGGACATGGAGATGCCTGTCCAGGATGGCCTTACCTGCACACGACACATTCGGGAACTAGAGCGGCAAGGTCAGATCCTGGGCGGAAGCATCCCCATCATCGCAGTCAGTGCCAATGCGAGGCTTGAGCAGGTCCTCGAGGCCAAGGCTGCGGGCTGTGACGACGTGATGATCAAGCCATACCGCATGCCGGAATTGATCGAAAAGATGAAGATCGTGACCATGCAGGCCGAGCAGAAGAGCCGGGTCCCAACAGTCGATATGTCTGAGGCGGTCGAAGTAGTGGACTCCACTGGTGCTGGCGGCCCCGGACCGCCGGAAGCCGCACCATGACTAGAAGAGCGCAGACAAGAGAAGGAGGAACGGGGCACGACCACAGGACAGCAGGAGGCACAGCCAAAGGAGCCGAAGTGTTGTGTCTTGCTATAGATCTAGACGCATAGATTCGTTGAGGGGGAACCTTGCAGGTAGAGACGAAGCGGTTGCATTGCGAGATTGTTTGTTTCTTGTTCTTGTTACTGCTATTGCCGTTGCGCAAGAGCCACGGCATAGACAGGCAAGACTATATACCTAAGGGCGGGGCAGGATGATGAGCCAGATGAGGTTTGCTTACCATTGCACTGATGATTGAAAAAGCATGGGCATGGAAGTGGATTTGTTGATGTGGCATTTTGTGTTCTTGACAACCCTAGACTTTTATATGAGATTATGGCAATGATACCCCCCTTTTGGCCTCTTCTTTTCTTCCGTGCTTGCTTGTGTGCGTGTGTACGTGCGATGTATGCCGCGGTGTGTCCGGGCCTCTCTGGGCGACTTTGATTCGGGTGAGGTTGGATCAAAGTCTTGCGGGCCCAAGCAGCGCAGGCCCCCTTTGGAGTCATTCCCTCCTGGTCTCTATATCAAGCAGCTCTATAATGGCAGTCGACATCTCTAGGCAGTCTGATGTCATTGCGCTTCCGTTATATTGCAGTCGAGTCTCCAGCAACCTGGCAAGACATTCTCCTTTGGTATTTCATCCTATATTCCCTCCAGTGGGGTCCCCTCTATGGGATGACCTCGTATGGAATAATCTTGTACCGGATAATCCGCTGCTGAATAAAATTGCGTGGGCTACCCTCCTTTGGGAGGAGTGAGTATAGGATTACCCATGGCACCGTTTATGAGATTCCCTCGTAGCATAGACTCATACAAGAACAGATCTTGCGGACATAGGAGAGCTGTGCTGTCCGTTGTATGGTTCTCGGTTGCACTTGACTATTGGTTTTAAACCGCTTTAGCAAAGTCCGATTTGAGCTCTGTATGATCACCGGGCGAGGGCTTTCAGGCGGCGCATGTACCTGATGCTAGCAAGAGGGAGTTTTCCTATATGCGTTGCGGGTCTGCCTGTATATTTACGGAATAGCCCCTGGCACCGCGGTTCAAAAATACTGGCAGTCAAGTGTGCCTTTCCAGGAAGCACAAGCCTCCGTGATCAGCGTCAGACAGTGCAGGAGGCAAAATTGGCGGCATCGCGCCCTTGCATCACGGAATGTCCGTCTTGCTGCACTTCAATTTCTCGGACACCTATTTTAATGTTCAACGGCAAAGAATAATGGCTGCAAGGAACGAAGCAGTCAATCCCTTGTTTTTTCATGTAGCCTTAAAAGCTGTGAAGCGCTCCTCTGCGACTGGAGCTTTAGGCTCTGCGCTGCATATCTCACTTTCTTGGGTTATAGGAACTCAATACTCCGCGATTTCAAGCACACGCAGCCATGAGGTTTTTCTTGGGAATAAATACACGTTCTTCTTGCCACACTTAGTCTGAATTCAAAGGTCTTTACACTAGAAATCACACATAAGATTTCTCCATAAGCTTACAAGTAAAAGATAAAATAAAAGTGCAGGATTAAACCCTTGACTTGTATACACATCCAATGACCTACCTCTCTTCTTTGTTGCAATAACGTGAAATACCTTTTTACTAGCTGCCTTTTAAGATAAAAAATAATATAAGTTATTATAAACAATAAACACTATATATACGTAGTTCCACTATTTAGCCTGGCTCTCCTGGAGTCAGCGTACGCCCACCCAGCTTCCAGCGTTGGCCCACCCAGTACAAAGAAAATTAGCTGCATCCGCACTAAAATGCAGGTACTGCGGGGTTTCTAAATTAGCAAAGCTATAGCTATTTCAAAGGGGTCTTATAGCTACCCCTCTATTTGCAACTTAAAAGTTACTTCTACCCTTCTGCCCTCTGCCCCCTCGGCGCCCTCGCCGCTCTGGGCGCCCTGGGGCCCTCTGGGCGCTCTGGGGCCCTCTGGGGGCTCTGGGGGCTCTGGGGGCTCTGGGGGCTTTGGGGGCTTTGGGGGCTCTGGGGCCCTCTGGGCTTTTTAGGCTTGTATTTTTAAAGTATCGCTTAAATTGGAAAATAGCTACCCTAGCTTCTTATATGCGGGGTAAACTTAGAAAAGTACCTAGTCTTATTAATATAATACTAAGAAAAGGAAGTACTGGGTGGGCCAACGCTGGAAGCTGGGTGGGCGTACTGTGGAAGCTGGGTGGGCGTACGCTGACTCGCTCTCCTGGCTCATTCTTTGCTGCTGATAATCTATGGTCCTGGCTTAAATGATTAAAGCAATACCCTTGTTACATACTCTCATTTGCAATTAATCATATTAAAATGGCGCTAATGGGCTGCACAACACACACCACACCCTTTTTCATACGCACTTTATTTTTTTACATATTTTCACCTCTTATATAATAAATACTTTTTTAATTTAATAATTACTTATATTAAAAAAAACTGCTTTCTTTTTAATTTTTTTAATATAAATTTAAAAAAGGGGAAGGAAATATTAAAAGTATAAAGTATATTAATCTTTAATTTTAAAGAAAATTTTAAAATTTTAAAAAGGGTATAGTTTTAAGTAAATTTAATTATATTTACTTTATTAAAATTAATAACTTTAATATAACTTCTTAATTTTACCTTTCTTTATTTCTTTTTAAATTTATATTAAAAGAATTAAAAAAGAAGCAGCTTTTTTTTAATATAAGTAATTATTAAATTAAAGCTATATTAAGAAACTTAAATAAAGTGCATATGAAAAAGGGTGTGGTGTGTATTGTGCAGCCCATTAGCGCCATTTTGATATGATTGATTGCAAATGAGAGTAAGCCAGGGGTCACGTGGGTCTGCCTCTGCCTTGCCTTGCCGCCCGGCTGTTACAACGGTTGACCTAAACCCTCACCTAACCTACTGTTGGTCCTATTTCTGTCAGGGCCGTGACACATCGACGGACAGTGCATTTATAGTTCTTACATTCATAAGAGCTTTCCCTGGGGAGGAGCCAGCCAAGCTCCTGGACACGAATTCTGCGTGACGGGTAGACAATGTCGTCACGAGATCACTTGAGTCGACGCTCAAATGTTAGACGAACAAACGTCACCGCCTGTAAACGGTGCCGCTCTCGAAAACAGCGATGCGACCAGAACATCCCGGCTTGCTCTAACTGCGAACGTGCAGGTGTTCCTTGTGTAAGCACTGACATTGATGGTCAAGTTGTGCCTCGAAGGTCCGTATCTCAGGTTTACATGATAAGGAAATTGGTTGACGGTCATGTTCAGCTACATACAGAGCTTAGAAGACAGGGTGGCTTTCCTCGAATCTCAACTCGCCGACAGAGCAAAGCTGGACTTTCAGTCGACTTCGGAGAAGTTTCCTCCAATGCCCCCGAGTGGGAGGTCCTCATCCAGAGATCCAATTGAGCAAGTGGCATCCAAGAGTCTGGATGCAGACGTCTTTTACAACACTATCACAACTTCCAACGGACAATCCCTTCTTCGCTCATTGCTAGCTGAGCCGATTGGGAGCGTTTCGCAGACATCGAAACCAAACGATCATCGAGCACTTCTAGATGAATTACCCAGTGAGACACGAGCTCTTCTACCTGGTCGAGATGGGGCAACGCGACTGATTGCCGCCTACTTCGAGCATTGCGAATTTTTCTCTCCCATCATACCACCGAAGGCTGAATTTTCCTCCTCAATCGCGTTGCTATATGATGAGGGCTCGGACGGCCAGAACGTACTTCAGGATTACTCTGAGGTATCACCGAGTATGTTCCGCGCATACATCGTCTTTGCCACAGCAGTCTTGTTGCTCAACAGGACGGATTCCGCATTCCCCATATCCAGGGCAGACAGCTACTTTGCTTCAGGGATCCGGCTACTTGCCCACAGTCCAGCCGTCATATGTACTGGCGATCTCGGTCATATGTGCAACCTGGTCCTCGTGGCACAGTATTGTTGCTTCGCCTCTAATCTGAGTGGGGCGTGGCATTTTATTGGCCTGGCGTCCAGACTGGCAGTCGAGCTTTCTCTGCATGATGAGCGTGCCGTTGACGCAAAATTCAGTCAAGATTATGTCAACCAGTGCCGATGGCTCTTCTGGGCATGGTACACATTGGAGCGAAACCTTTGCGTTTGTGGGAAGACCCTTCTCGATTCCAGACGGACAGCTCCGCTTCTTCTGGCGCACGACGCATAACCTCTTCAGGAGCGGCGTGGCGATGGCCTACTGCGTTCACCTGAATTCCATGCACCATTACCCGGCTCTCGACCAGGCAGACATGATTTCATCTATCAATACCTGCATGTCTGTCCTTTGGGCCATGGTCGAGCGTTATCCTCCTGGATCGGTATATCGAGATGCATTTGAGATCCTGTCGAATTCTGTGCTCAGATCTGTTGATAATCTCGGCAGCCTGGGCGATGTGCAGCTTCAGGAAGCATCTCAGCTCGCGTTTGAACCGTCATTTTGGGCAGATATGGCGTTGCCACAGACATCACTGGGTGCTTTGTATTGGGGATTTTGGAATGTACCATGGAGCTGAAGCTATTTTGGGATGTGCTTAAGAATTACTGCCAGACTTCCTGAGGTCAACCCCCTTTATGACTACTAGGACTAATAGACTATGACTTCACTGTAGACTGCGAAAACATGGGCCACCTTTGTCACTTCCAGGCGCAGGCGAATCGATGCGTTACATGAATTCTTTGTAGACATATTCAATTGAGTGGAGACCTTTATATTGTGGAAGGCTACAAGTGTCGTGAGGGGTTTAAAAGCATGATTATAAAAGCATTTATCTCCTAAGAGTAGTTTAAAAGGAGGAAATAAAAGAAATTTAGCTATTTAAATATTTTAAAAAGTAGTTATAAACTAAGGTTAAGGATATATATATAATATACCCCTTAATTAAAAAGTAATTCTTACTTTATTAATTACCTTACTTTTTTAAATAATTAATTTATACTTAAAAATATTAATTATAATTTATTAAATAATTAATTATTTAACCTTTTTTATAATATATATACTTAATTATTTAAATTTTAATTACTTATAACTTTATAATATAGCTTATAATTAATAATTAAACCTTTTTTTTTAAACTTTTTAATTAAATTTATATTTAAAAATACTTATTTTTATTAATTTTAAGTATTTTTTTAATTATATTAAAAATAATTAAAAATAATAAATAATAAGCTTTTAAGCTATAAGTTATTTTACTTTTTTATATTTTTAAGGTTTAAAAAAAGAAATATAAATATAATTAAATTAATAAAAAGCTTATTAATAAGAATAATAAAAATTTTAATGCTTTTATTAAAATATTATTAAATAATATACTTAAAAGTAAGTTTTTTAATTAATTTAAAAAATAATTTTAAAATATATATTAATTCTTAATATAATTTTAAAAAACCTTTAAGTATATATAAATAGCTTAAAGCTTAAAATAAAATGCTTTTTTAAGAAAAAGGTTAAAATAAAGTATAAGAAAAAAAAGAAAAATATAAAAAAGCTTAAAAAAATTAATAAGCATTATATTTCTTATCTTTTTTATATTAAAAGCCTTATGCATAATTATAATAATAATTTTTATATAAATTATAATAATAAAGATAATTATTATTATTATTATATTTAAGGCAATTCTTATAAGTTGCTTTTAATTTGCTATTTATACTTTATCTTTATTGCGCTTAATTTAATAATTCCTTAGCATTTAAAAAGTTTTAATATACTTAAAAAAAGGCCTTAAATATATATAAATATAAAAAGTTTAATTATGCTTACTTTAATTATATTTTTATAATTCCTTTTAATACTTAAAAAATTTTTACTTTATAATAATAGCTTTTAAAAGCTATAAAAAATAAATATAAAAATATAATAAAGCGCTTTAAAGCCTAAATTATAATTACTTTAAAGTAATATAATAAAGCTAATATAAAGGCTTAAAAGCTTTAAAATTAAGTTATTAATAACTTAAAAATTATAAAAAAATATTAAGATTATATTATTATTAAAATTAAATGTTTTAATTTTAAAAGTAATATTAAAGAGTAAATATTATTAAATTTTAATTTAAAATTATAATTAAGAATTTAATTAAAGGTTAAAAGGGTTTTTTAAAAAACTTAAAAGATTATTATAATAATTAAAAAAAGGTTTTAAATTAATTAATATATTATTATAAAAATTAAAAAGTAGTTTTTAATTATAAAATAGTTTTTATATAAAGATTATATTATAATTTTTAAGATTTTTAATAAAAATTTAATAATAAAAATAATTAATAAATAAATTAATTCTTTTTTATTAATTTCTTTATATTTTAAAGATTTAAAAAAGCTTTAAAATATTTAAATTAAGCATATAATAAAACTATAATAAGTTTATTTATAAGCATTTTTTTAATTTTTAAATATATAATATTAAAAGTACTTTTTTTAAATTCTTATTTTAATTATATTTATTAAATATTTATATATTTAAGATTTACTTTTAATTATTTATATTTATTAATACTTAAGTATATAATTATTTAATTATTATAATAAATAATTTAAGATTTACTTAAATTTAAAGTTATATCTTTAAATAAGTATTTTAAAGTTATTATTTTTTTAATTATAAACTTTAAAGGTAATATTTTAGCCTTAATAATTAAAATAAAAATAATTGCTTATTTATATACTTTTTAATATATAAGGCTTTTAAAAAAAGTTATTATATACTTTTAAAAAGATCTTTAATTTTCTTTATTATTAATAAATAAAGCATTTTTAATTATTAAAAGTATTTAAGCTTTTTAATTTTCTTTAAATTATAATTTAAGGAATTAAGTAATATATAAATATTAAATTATATAATTTATTACCTTAAAGTAACTTAAACTTAAATTTATAAGAAATTTTAATAATATAAAGTAAGGAAATGCTATATTTAAATATATTATAATTATTATATAAAGGATAAAATTAACGTTTTCTTAAAATTCTTAAATTTCTTATTTTAAAGCTTATTTTAAAAAAGGCTTAAGTTTTTCTTTAAATATTAAAATAAATAATAAAAAGTTTTTATTCCTTAATAAATTATATTTATTTATTATCTTTTTAATATATAAGTTATAAAGAAATATTATAATATACTTTTTTTAATTTTTAAAAAATTTATATACTTAAAAATTATTAAGCTTTTTTTTAATTTTTTATTTTATATATAAATTAAATTTTATTTTTAATTCTTATAAAGAATTTATATTTATTTTTAAAATATATAATTAAAATATTATTTATATAAAAAAAGGATTATTATTTTATAAGTTAATTTAATAAAAAGGCATAGCTTTTTTAATAAGGATTTTAAGCTTAAATTTTATAATATATAATTAAAATCTTTATATTAAAGAAATAAAAAGTTTTTAAGTTTATAAAGTATCTTTAAAAGTATTTTATATTTCCTTAATTTCTTAAATAATTTATAATAAATTTAATTTAATTCTTTTTAATTAATATTTAAAAATATAATTATAATATTAAATTATTAAATTTTTAAATTAAAATATATAATAATTATTATTATTATATAAAATAATTTTATAATTAAGGTTATAATATATATGCTTTTTATAATAAAATAAGATTATAAGTTTCTTTAAATATAAATTTATATCTTAAAAAATTTAATTATTTTATTTTTATTAAGCTTATATTTATATATTTATTTTAAAAATAATAATATTAATTTTACTTTTTAATGCTTAATAATCCTTTAAATATTAAATTTAATAAAGCTTTATATTTTTTAATATATTACTTTAAGCTATTTATTTTTAAAAAAAGCTTTTTTTAAGCTTTTTTTATATTATTAATTTTAAAAAAAAAGTTTTATAATATTATTATATTAAATAAGGCTTAAGCTTAATTTTAAAGGCTTAAATAATAATTATTATTATATTATTTAAGGTTAAAAAATATAAGTTTTTAAGTATTTTTTATTTTTATTTTTTAAATTAATTAAATAAAAAAGTAATTATAAAGTTATTTTAAAAGATTATATTAAAATAAAATATAATTATATTTAATAAATATAATAATTAATTAAAAGATTTTTAAAGGTATTTATTTTAATTATATATTTAAAAAAATCTTTTTATAAATTTAAATTCTTAAATTTATTTTTATATTCTTTTTATTTTTATTAATTAAAAAGATTTTTAATTTTTTATTGCTTTAAATATATATAATTTTTATAAAAAAGATTTAAATTTATTAACCCTTATTTTATTAATAAAAGTATATTTCTTTTTATAAAAGCTTTATTTTAATATATTTAAGGTTTTTTTAAGAGTTAAAAGTTTTTATTTTTAATTTCTTAAGCTTTTTAAAAAAGCAATATATAATAAACTTTGCTTTTTAAATTTAAAAGTTTTTATTCTTAAGTTTTAATTAAAAGTATTAATTTTATTCTTTCTTAATATAAAATAAATATTAAATTTATTATTTAAATTAATTAAGTTATTTTTTATATAAAGCATTAAAAATATAATATAAATATAATTTTAAATCTTTTTAATATTAATAATCTTAATATTTAATAATTTTATTTTAAAAGTTAAAAAATTATTTTTTATTTCATTTATTATTAATTTATAAAATATATCCTTATTAAATTATATATTGCTTATAAAGATTATTTACTTAAGTAAAGAAATTTAAATTTAAAAGATATTAAATATTATATAATTAATTAAATACTTAATATAAGCTTTTAATTCTCCCTTTATAAGGCGTTTCTTTATATTATTTTTATATTCCTTTTTAAATATATATGCTTTATATTTATAAGCATAAATATTACCTTAATAAGGTAATAAATAAGTTATAAAATAATAAATTTAAGCTAATTTAAATTATTAAAAATAATAAAAAAACTATATATATAAAAAAATATTTAAAGCACATTTCATTTTCCTTAAAATAAGTAATATACTATATAATTAAGCTATAGCTTATATTACTTTTAGCTAAAGGTTAAAAGGTAAATTAACCCTTAATAATATAATTAAAGTATATTTAATTATTACTTTATTAGCTTTTTTATAACATTATTTACTTTTAAGGTTTAAAAAGAAGTAAGTTTTAAATTAATACTTTTTTATTTTACTTATTTAATATATTTAATATTTATAA